CCAAGGGAGCTCCTGCAGCACCTTCCCTACTCTGAGCCACTGCAAGTCCCATGTTTTCCTGATTTCACATTAAAAAATACATTTTAACGAAGAATTAAAAAGGCAGTCAGTGTCTGCGGGAGCTGCCAGCGCAAAAAAAGCGCACCCCGACCCCTCCTCACCTCAGCCAGAGGCACCCCAACAGCCTCGGCCCACCTCCTCCAGGAGTTATGGACCAGAACACCAGCAATGGAGATAGGCCAGCACATGGCAAAAATAAAATAAAATTAAAAACATAAAATAAAAATTGCTAATGTCTTCTTTTATTCTCCACAGCGAGGCAGCACAGGCACAGCTCACAGCCAGGTTTGGAAACCGCATCTTCCCTCCAAGCACCGCCCCTTCCCATCCAGCTTGAGTATCTCCCCAGCAACCCTAGAAATAGGGCAAAATTTCCCCTTTTTGGGTTAATATCGGCACAATTCCAGCCAAACACTCCCAGATTTTACCTTCCTGATGTATTTTTAAGGGTCTACTCACGCTGGGAGCTTAAGCTGCCGCCAAAACGCCCCTCTTGCAGCAGCCCCTGCGAGAGACAGGGAGAAAGGAGAAAAAAAGCCAGTAAGTCATTAAAAGTTTAAAGACATTTATTTAAAATACAATTTATAAAATGTTTTCTCTTCGGCGCACGTTTCGGGGTGAAAACACGCGGTACCGTGTTTATCCTCTACCTTCCCGGGACGAAGGGGCTTCCCGCAGGAACGCCGCCGAGCCCTGCCCGCGGGCGGGACGTATCCTGGTCGCCGGGACGAGGGAGCCGGGAGATTGCGGTGTTGGAGACAGAGATTTTGGTGCCGAAGATTTCGGTGCCAGACACGGACATTTTGGTGCCGGAGACGGGGATTTCAGTGCCAGAGATGGACATTTTGGTGCTGGAGGAGGTGGCAACTTCAACACTGGCCAACTACACCAGGAACCGGGTGGGTTTGCAGTTTTTTTGGCCATTAAAAGCTATTTTTAGTAATAATTAAGGAAAGGCGCGGTGACTACGGTTATTGCTGATGGCCTTCTCCCCTCCCGCTCCCCCCAGGGACTCATCCTGACCACCAGCCTGCGAGGGGGGGGATAAATATAAGGACACCCCCAAAAAAAGCACCGGCAGTTGGGGATCCCGGGGGGGACGTCTGCCCGCCTGTCCCCACCTCGCCACTGTCCTCAGTGCTTTAATCAGCTTTAATCAGCTAATTAACGCTCCAGCAGATGCTTTTATACACAGGTAGTTTTATTTTGCCGTTTTTGTTTTTAAGCCGTATTTCCACAAACATCTTTTTTTGTGTACGGTTGCTTTTCTTCGGGTAGACGACGTTAAGAGTTGCTCGTTTACCCTTGAATCTACTGAGCACGAAGCGGCAGGGAATACAGAATAATCCGCCGATAGCAAGAAACCATTTTCTAGGTACCATCCCCTCCAAGGAGGGCATTTAGTGTTCATCTAATCCCTCGCTATTAAGCGACATTAAGGTAGATCAGCTTCATCCAGGGGGGTGAAAACACCTGCATTCTTGCCTCCTAGGAGGAAAAATCCCTTCCCCGAAGCCTTGTGGGGAGCCACCTGCCGCGGGGAAGTCGAGGGCATCATCCCGACTTTATCCAACGCCGGTTTTGCCCCCGCTGTCTGCCATTTCGGAAGGTGAAGGCAGCTCGTACCGTGACCGAGATGGATGGGAGCCTTCGTTAAGCCTCTCGCGCCATCCCGCTCCTCGTCGTTACCTCACCCGCTCGCCGAGCGGGGCCTCACTGATTCATTTCAGGGACCAGAGTGGCACCCGTTATTCTTCTCCTCGCAACGCAGCCCTAACTCTTTGCCGCTGGGCGCTCTCTGCTGCAAACAGCGGCCGAGCAGCAGGCATTTTTCCCGGGATCCATCTACATTCCCTTCTCCCCAAATATCAGAAAAAAACAACAACAAAAAAAGATGTGTTTTAAGCTTTTCCTCCAAGCCAGCAGAAAATACCGAGCTTTACCAGGTGCGAGACGTAAACAGCGTCATCGGGCTCCGCCGGCTCCCAAGGCAATTGGAAAGGCCAGGTCTACAGAGTCCACTCCCACATGCTTGGCAGCAGCAGAAACCGAGAACGAGAAGCAGGAGTTTGCCAAACCCGAGCCGTTAGAAGTCGCAGACATTCACTGAAACTCCTTTTGTTTCGAATGCGTAACTACCTCTCTCAATTAAAACAAACAGTTCAAACCTTTCCCATGCATTCCGTTGATCTGATATACAGAAAACAAACCAGAAACGAAAAAAATTAAAATAAAGAGAGATCCTTTGAAACAGAACTTGCTCTTAAAGTGATGAGGACAACACGCGCGGCTGGGGAGGCTTCCCATTTTTTGTGTTTTTTTCCTTAAATCCCAGGCTCCGAGTACAACAAACATTATTGCTGGCGCTAGCTTCAACCCAAGCGGCGCACGCACGACTCCCTGCACCCGTCCGAGTCCTTTATAACCCTCCCCTCATCGTCCCCGTTTTCTTTTTGTTGTTTTGCTTTGTTGCAGCGATTTGGGGACAGCCCTTCTGGGTTTGCCGGTCACAGTGGGTGGAGAGGGGAGGTCACAGTGCGTGGGGGTTGAAGGTCACAGTGGGCAGAGCAAAAGGGGAATCACAGTGCAAATAAAACCAGGGAGTTCCCTTTGCTCAAGTCCGTTTATCCGTCCCGGCAACGCGAGCCGCGGCGCCAGCCCCTGCCTTCAGCAGCAGCGTCTCTGGCCCACGTTTATCTGCGCTGTTTGAAGCCTTGCGAGCCATCGGGCCCCAGCGGTTGCCGAATCACGTTATTGGGCTGCCTGGTGTCCTCTGGCTGCGAGATCCTTGGCGGCCTGTGGGGAGAAACAGAAATCAGAGGTGGAGGCGATGCAGCTGCGTGATGCCATCAATATTCCTGCAAGTGGGAAAGCCACTGCCATGGGGGAATCATCACATGTCAGTCCTCAGGATGGGGAACACTGCTGAGAATTAAGTTTAATTTCTCTTTTGGGAGTCTTACTCTCAAGTAGCGAAGAGTTTGCTGCAACTACAGTGAGAGCACAGCGCCTCCACAGAACCCACGCTTATTTAAATGTGTAAGCTCAACTCTCCTCTCTGCCCATAAGTCAAAAACCTCAGGAGAAATGAGGATACACCCCACCAGGATAACTCTGGTTGTTCACACTCCTCTACACCTCAGCACGCTCCTCCAAGGGTCCAAAAACACCTTTATGGCCTCATCAGGCACTTGTGCTTCCCTTAGCTCCCACAGATTTGAGTTTTATGATGCCCTGCTTGCTAACAGAGCACTCCTTTATCTTCATGTTACTCCTCAAGGAGCTCATCCCCTTCCTTCCAATGGGAAGATGTTTGTGAGGAAGGCAGGAAAAGCTGCTCTCACCCATCTACAGTGGGATTTCCTCACCCATCCACAGTGGGATTTTCCCTCACCCATCCAGGACGGGTTCTCTCACCTATCTAGGATGGGTTTCTCCTGCTCTTCTTCGGGGCTGGCGCTGCCCAATATTCGTTTCCTGGCTTCCGCGTACTCTGCCTCCCTCTGCGCCAAGGATTTGACGGGGAAGGCCGGTCTGCTGGCAGAGTTGGGATTGCTGAGCACGCCGTTGGTCGTCGGCCGCTTCAAGATGCGGATCTGCGGGGGAGGACCTGCGGGAAGGCTGTCGTCCTGAATCACGATCGGCACTTTAGGAGGAGATTTTGACTTTCTACTGTTTAAAAGAAAAACATTTTGGTTGGTACTTGTTTTCTACGGGGTGTTTTTCGCTCTGCGGGTGAATTCCTCCCAGTCAGGTGTCATTCCCATGATTAAGAGGCAGCCTGGAATAATTAGAGACCTCGTTATATTTGTAACCCTAAACTAGAGCGGCGGGCGGATTTGCAGGAGGTCAGCTCAGTCTGGGACAGAAAACCAGTCCCTGCTGCGCCTGACATCTTTAAACTCAACCGAAGGAAAGGGAAGTGGACACCGGGCAAAAGTTTCAGCACCTTGAGTCAAAGGTATCGGTGTAAGCACCTTGATTCCACTCCCTGTGAGGAGTTTTTTGGCTCCTCTCGCCAGGACATCCCCAGCCATTTCACTTCTCAGAGCCAGCCTCGGCCCCCATCTCACCATTTCTATTTATTTTATGGTCCCTTCTCTGTGCGGAAGTCCCAGAGAAGTAATACCATGACTCTTTAGGCAGCCAGCTAAGAATCAAAGGGGAAAAACAGCAACAAAAGGCTTGTCAGAAGTGATTAGAAATATTTCTGAACCACACACACCCCCGCCCCAACCCAAAGGAAGCAGGAAAAGAAAGTCTCACTGACGCAAGACCCGGCAAGCCAATTTAGGGCCATGAGTTGGGATTACCTGACTCACCCATTTCTTCCTTTGAGTGTCTTTTTCTTAAATGGCTTCCCCATAGCTGTAGCTACATCCAGTCTGGAAGACCCGGCTCTGAAATAAAATCACTCTCAAACAGCTTTCCGCTACCCTGCTACGGATCGAAAGGGCCATCTAGTGGCACGATTACAGGGATTCCCTACTTCTCAACTCAAACCCAGCGCTGTCTGCTCACTTTGAAACTGTTTCCCCGTTGCTCCCACTCCCCAGGCCTTCAGATCTCCAACAGAACCTCAGGAAAAATCTGGTTTTTTTAACCAAAACAGCGTCATTACCTTTCCTTCTGCGTGATCTTCAGCTTCTTTTCCAACCGTCTGTCTATTTCCTGCAAAAGGAGATAAAGAGTAAAAACCTGAAGGCTCATCTTAGAGACTGGAGTTCGAGGCCGTCTGTGCATGCATTTAATTTCTCTTCAGTACAGCGACACGACAAAGCGGGCAGAGAGAGCACGCGTCTCCATCCAAGGATGACTTGCAAATCCAGAGGAGAGCAAAGTCACCACCTCTGATCTACCGTAGCCATCACTACACCTACAGCAGGCTGTGGATTCTGTGTATCACCACAAAAAGGCAGCTGCGAGGCACTCATCTTTCATTGTAAGGACTTCCTCTGGCAAGAAAGCTCTATTAAGGGTAAAGAGCCAGGGGAATACGCAGCGAGGTATTCCCAGATGCGAGCGGGAACCAGCGCCAAACCAGAGAAGCAGCAGCAGCAGCAGCCGCCGGCCGGGACGATCTGCATCAGTCCCCACGCTTGATTTCAGCGTGGCAGCTCAGCCCCAGAGCCCGCAGCCATTCGAGCAGTAGCCGGCAGGGCCGGATTCATGCATAACTCCTGCACAGAAAAGGCCCTGCCCTGCCCGAGATGAACCCCAGGACTCGGTGGAGCAGAGCCTTAGAGAGCTTCTCCTTCGCCTTGCAAAACAGCTGCCGAGTCATCAATCGGCAGAAAGATGCATTAATCACCCTTGAACGCCAACAGAGCGTGGCTTTAAGCGTGTCAACTTCTGAGGCTTGCATCTACCTTAGCAAAGGCGTTTACATTTTGTAATCAGAGCAGTTATGCAAAGGAAATCTTGCTAAAGAGAAAAATAAAGCCAGCTTTCAGGCCCAATCTCTCTCCAGGCAAGCTCCCTGCTATCTTTAGATTCTCAGGACTGCTGATGCTATGAAAAGAGCCTGCGAAACAGCAATGTGTTTTATTTAATCATCAATGAAGAGGAAAAATAAACCGAAAACCAACTACCTGAGAGTGTCCCAGTTTCATCAGCCAATAACTGGCAATAATGAAGGAAATTCCAAGCTCCTGGCAGGACGTGGCTGTTCTACTTTTCAGGGTGGTTTGCCTAACTATGCTGAACGCTCGCTGCCAGCGGAGCCTACCCTGCTGTCAAAAACCGGTAAAGAAACTGGTTTGCACAGCAATTCCCCGATGCCCCAGTAAGCAGGGAACAAATGCAAGTTGCTACAGGATGCCAAACCATGGTGTTTGCTCCTGATCAGGCAGCTTCACAGGCCAACGACCTGCAGTAGCCCCCGTGTAAAGGGAATAGCTATAAACCATTTTGGGCAGATAAACGGTGGGCGGGAGGTTGAATTTTTTACCAAACTCTGTAGTGGGAGGCGAAGGGTGATTTGTCTTGACGTGGAACTGAATGGCTGTCTGGAAACGGATATCCCGGGAAGGACAGAGATGCTGGAGAGCGGCTGGCGGCAAACAATGAAAGGACAAGTAAGGGGAAGGAGTTAGCTCATGTGCCTGCATCATGCCAGAAGAGGTTATATCCGGCTAGAGAAGAGCCTTTAAAACGCTTTTTCAAACTCAAATAGTTACGCGTGCCTCCCCAGGGCGCCCTGGAAGCGGTTGACTGGAAGGAAGCTTCTTTAAATATCCCTTACTAAATACTTGATGGCGCTGGGGAGAGGGACAACAGGAAGAAGGGGTGGAGAAGGGGCAGAAAGTCCGCTCGGGAGAATCTCAGCTCATTTCACTCCTTGTTCGGGGCTGAGCAGCAACTACAGAGCCAGCTCCGGGTCAGAACCACAGCGCTGAACCATTCAACTAGGGCAGATGAGCTCAATGGCCCACGGCAAGGGCACGAGAGCACAAGCAGCCACACGGTAGCCACGAGGAAGGCTCTGTTCCCAGCAGAGGAGACACAGCTTTGACTAAAAGCCTCATTTCTACATTCCTGGTGGCTTCGCAGGTCAGTCCTGGGGCTAAAGTCGCAGTGCATACATCGGACTACGAGATCCTGTAATTGCGAAGCGTCAGTTTGAGCTCGGCACCTGAAAAACACTCTGATTAACACGGCTGTCACTCTGTGCGCTGCTGGACAGCTCTGCACGCCCTCACACGCGCCAGACTTCCTCCAACTGCAGCCTCTGATGCCACAACCTGCCCCTTCCCCTGTCAGGAAAAAAACAACCCAAATAGTTCGCTAATTCACTCAACATGTGCAGACACACTCAAAGGAATCCTTCAAACCCTGCCATCATGACACCCCTTCCCAAATGAGCCCTTTGCAGTCTCAGTTTTACCCCTTCCTGCTCCTGTGCAGACCAATTCTGGTGAAATACTCCATGTTTTCACCCTTCATCCCTCCATAATCGCCAGCAGCCACTCAGCGAACACGCTTGGTCCTGGTTAATATGCCAACACACACAGGTTCGACACCTGCTCCACACCTGGGGAGCTCCTCACCAAGCAATGGGCAGCTAAAATATCCTCTATGTTCTAACACCAGCGGCTGTTCGAACCACTGTGTGCTCTCCAAAACAAGCGGCTTCCTCCGCACGTAGAAATCCTGGCAGAATAACGTAAACCACATCATCTCCACCAAACAGGCACGTATCACTCTCACCCCATCCAAACAACGCTTGGTCTTACAGGATTTTCCTAATTCCTGGCGCTGCTGAGGGGATTGCAGCTGTCTCCAGCCATTCGCTGAACTTCTGGGTAGAAAAAGTCTGCCTTTGTGCTCAAAGCGGATGGGTAGCGTAAAAAAAGCAGCTCCCTGCCTCACACACCTCTTGATACATTAGAAGTTGTGTTGTTTTTTAAAATGCAGGGATTGACTCTGACTTTTCTCAGCAAAAGCCACAGCACTGCAAACTCTTGGTGTTTCACAGTGCCGTGGTTGGAATTGTGGGGATGGAGGCGTTTGGATGCGGAGAGCGCTGCCAAATACAAACGGGCAGCCCCTGGTCGCCCTGCAAAACCAACCCAGGATATGAGCGGCCTCACACAGCCGGCAGTTCGTGACGGGGATCACGCTGCACGAATCGACGAGCTCAAGAAGCAGAAACACCTTGAAAAGGCTCATTTTTAATAAGAAAAAGGAATTCCTGGCACTGCTCCGCACAGATCCGTTTGCTGATGTCATTCCCTCGCCACTGCTATGTCACATTGTCACCGAGCTGTGTGGGTAACGAGATAAAATTAGGACCTGACTTTGCAGGGCAAGCGCCAGCAGCACTACAACAACCCAAAGGCATGAGCTCAGCGCAGAGGCAATTACATTTGGCATCCCAGGCCATCATACCACACGTACCCCATAGCTGGGCTGGTCACACCATACAAAAATCAGCTTTTAATCTTAAGAGGCTCTCCTCGCCCTTACTTCCCAACCAAACTTATTTACGGAACCAAAAACTAAGCCTCGTTTACACCCCCCCTTCGAAACACCCTCCCCAAAGATTAGTGAAGAATCTCGACCAACTATTTTTAGAGCTATTATGTCTAGATACTAAAAAGGACCCAAACAAACAGCACGAAGAAGACACCGTTCTTTGACATTTAAGCTGCATTTGTGGATGAGGATGTAATGGAAACTGAACGCCAGCCCCATCACAGCCACCCTTCCTACCCGTGAACCCTCAGGAAAACAGCAATGCATGAAAGGATCAATAAAAATCAACTTAAAAAAAAAATCACTAAGATACCTCTTGGGAAGCAATCAGACAGTATGACACAAGCCTGCTGCCTAGATCTGACACTCCTATGGGTCTGTCATCCTAAATAGCCCATATAGCCAATAATTTTGGCAAGCTGGAGAGAGATGTTATCACCCCAACACCCCAGAAACGGGCCCGCCAAGAAAGGATGCCCCTCCGGACCATGGTTTCACAGGGGGTCCAGGCACATTCCCCAAAAAACCCCATTCTCCAGCATATTGTGAAGCACAGAGGGGCCGAGTCAGGCCAAGCTGTCGTAATGAACTTTGCTGGAATAACTGAATCAGACACGTATAAAGAATTATTCTTCCCATCACTGCCAGCAAAAACTCTCTAAACAGACTAAATAACAGCTCTGCTGATACGGGGAGAGGGATAACAAGATAAATGCGGGGTGTTTTTTATTGTAAGTGTACTGAGTAACCACAACTGAATGTCTGAAGGAAGGCAGAGACCTGGGCTTCCTACAAAGCCCTTACGCTAGGACAGTTCCCCTCTACGTCCAAAATGAGGTTACTTTGCAGAAATCAAGAGGAGATCTCTGGCAGGGGGCCTGGTAGGTCAGGACCGTCACCGATAAAGGAAGCTGTGCTCCCCTAGATACTCAATAACATCTCAAATCTGCAGCTTTAGAAAACCATTAACCACATTCTTTGATGTATTTACTGGAGAGGACTCCTGAACACAACCTTCTGCCCTCCCTCACTCAAATAACGTGCAAGATCAAACCCAGAAAGAGGGAATTGATGCCAGAGCTGCGTCCTCCCACGCCAACACTAAAAACAAAGCCTGGTCTGCTTATTAAAAGCCCCATCAGATACCCTGGCATTTTCTAAAGGACAGGAGATAAACTTCAAGGCCTGGTTAATGTTCTCTTCTTCAGGGGAAAAAAAAAAAATAGGTTTTAACATCTGAGGCTACCAAAGCTGTTAATGGGTACTCAACAACTTCTGACTCACTGCTGCACCAAAAACACCGAGAACAGAAGTAGATAATCCTAAACTATCTCCAAGCTGACTCCTCCTTAGCTACCTACTCTCTGAAGATAAATTAATCTGCTATTA